AAGGCTTCACCTCACATACTTTGGATAGACTGCTGGGAGGTGTTATTCCTTGGAGAGGGACATGATGTTGGGAAGGGTGGAGGGTTGGTGAAGGAGAAGAAGCCCCTCAACCAAATGGATTGACACAATGACTGCTACAGTGGGCTCTTGTGTGTCAGGAAGTATGAGGATGGCACAGGACAGGACTGATTTCAGATCTTTTGTTCATAGGATTGCTATGAGTCATACTTGACTCAGCAACATCTAACAACAACAGCAACACATAATCATTCATATATATCTTATTTTGCGCATGTACTTTGTGTTTTATACAATCATTGATATACATTATATTATTATAAAACTAATTACCATTGCTCATTCCTTTTATCACCCCATCTTTTGAAGCCCCTATTAATCCTTTCCCATTACTTCACCCCTTTCTATACACTAACCTCTGCTGTATTAGTGATTTTTACCTACTCATCTTTTTTTTCTGTTCCCCTCTCTCCTTTTTGGATATTTACACATACCTTCGTAACACCATATCAAAATAATGATGAGGTACAATCTTGGGTAGCATATTGTTTCCTTAGTGAAAGAGCCATGAAATAAGTAAGGTCTGGTCTTGTAGCACATCTTTCTTTGCAGCTGAATCCTAGCATTTTGCAAATTATATTGTTTGATACAAAAATTTGTTGGATGAATGGAAAGGGTTGCTTTTTGCCAAAGGATAGAAGCTTCAGTTTACTAATGTCCTTAATTATTAACATTCCATTCTTAATTATTATTTAATTATGATAGAAATCATTATTACCATTCCATTTCAGTGCCTCATTTTTCTATTTTACATTGGTTTGCATACAAACTTCATATACCTTGTGTTTCACACTATCCTTTATTCACATTGTTTCATACAATCATTCTTATTCATGATGTTTTATAAAATTAATCACCATTGAACTATGCCCACAATTACTCTGTCTTTCCATTTCCCCACCAGATCTTTCCTGTTTCCTTTACTACCTCCCTTCCGTCCACCCATCAAATTGTGTGACCCAATGATTTACCCCCACCTACCTTCACTCTGCTGCTTCACCCCTTCTCCCCTTGGATCCCCAAACATGTTTTACTAGTTATCCTTCTGTTTTTAACATAATGGTCTTATGCAGTATTTGTCTTTATGAGACTGAGTTACTTCACTAAGCATAATGCCCTCCAGTCTCTCCCAAGTTACATAGTAATTTTCAAAATTATTACTCTGAGTGCTGCATAAGTATTCCATTGTGTGACTGTATCACAGTTTCTCAATCCATTAGATTATGGTTGGACATTTGGACTATTTCCATGTTCTTGAGATGCTGAATAATGCTGTTATGAACATTGGTGTACAAATCACCATTTGTGTCTCATTTCTAATTTGGGGGGAGTATATTACAAGCAGTGGAACAGCTGGGTCAGATAGGATTTGTATGTTCAGCTTTTTGAGGAAATGCCATTTACCTTCCACAGTGGTTGTACCATTTTACAATCCCACCAAGAGTGTGTGAGAGTACCTATCTCTCCACATCCTCTCCAACAGTTATTGTTTGTTGTCCTTTTAAACTTTGCCACTGCTACTGGGGTGATAGGGTATCTCATCATGGTTTTGATTTGCATCTCTTTTATTGCCAGTGATTTTAAAATGCCTAATTATTTCTCATATGTGATTATGGTTGATTGGTGTTTGCACATGTTAAGTAATATTTTTTTTTTATGTAGTCAGATTTATTTCTTCCTTCTTGATGACTTTAAAGGCTATGATGCTTGAAAAGATGGAGGGTCAGTGAGAGAGAGGAGCACCCTCAACAAGATGAATTGACACAATGACTGTAACAGTGGGCTCAAGTATATAAAGAGATATTGAGGATGGCTGCACAGGATAGGGCAAAGTTCAGATCCATGTTGTATAGGGTTACTATGAGTCATAGTCTACTTGATGGCACCTAACAACAACAATAATAAAGCTACATAGAAGTTGTTAACTTTTTCTATATATCTGAGGAGAACCAGCACACATTGAAGACATGATACTGCCTCTTATAGATATTTTTCTTTTGTTAAGTACATGTCCATTTTAAGAATTCAAAAATGCATGATAATCTAAAGAAGTAAAAAAAACAAACCTCATAACCCACTCCTAGAAAAAAAAATCATTACTGATACTTAATGGTATATGTGTCTATAATTTTCTTTCTACATATATACTTTTATCAAAATTGAATGATATTAAGGGAGCTTTGGTAGCCTAGTGGCAGGATGCTGCACTGCAATCCCAGAGATGTGTGGTTCGAATCCATCAGATGATCTGCTGAAGAAGGAGGGACAGTCTCCTCCTGAACCAGTCAGATCCAGTATGATGGTACACACACACAAAATAATAAAATAAAATTTTTTTTTAAAATTGAATGACATTGTATATACCCCAGTTTTGTAATTTCCCTTTTTCTTTCAGTATAGTTAACTTTGTCTCATAAGTGTTGTTGTTGTTATGTGCCGTCGAGTCGTTTGTGACTCATAGCGACCCTATGTACAACAGCCCTAAACCCTGCTCTGTCCTGTGCCAATCTCCCTGCCTCTGACACACCCATCCCGATTACCCCAGTCACTGAATCAATCCACCTCATAGAGGGTCTTCCCCTCCTGCGCTGTCCCTCTACTCTACCCAGCATGATGTCCCTCTCCAAAGACCTATCTCTCCTTGCAACATGTCCAGAGTATGTCAGACGAAGCCCCAGAATCCATAATAATTTGTTTTTTTTACTATGTCTCATTAACAGTGTTTATAGATTTCGGAGTAGTGATTTTATTCTTCTCTTAATGGTGGGCGTAGTTCAATGGTGAATAATTTTATAAAGCATAATGAGTAGGATTGATTTTATGAAACAGTGTGAATGAAGAATAGTGTGAAACACAATATATATGAACTTTGTAATCAAACGAATATAAAATAAAAATTTTTTAAAACATTCACAAAATTATAAAAATTACAGAAACGTAGACTGATCAGCAATTTCAAAGAGTTCGGGTCAGGAGTAAGGGATGAGCATGGCTATAAAAAAGGCAACAAGAAGTTGTTGCAGATTCCTTTTTTTTAATTTATTTAATTTTATTTTTGTGTGAGTGTACTGTCAGATCTGACTGGTACAGGAGGAGATTGTCCCTCCTTCCCCGACAGAGCATCTGGTGGATTCGAACCGTGTGCCTCTAGGATTGTAATTGCAGCTCCTTGCCACTAGGCCACCAGAGCTCCCCTGCAGATTCCTTTTTTAAGAAACATAAAATGCTAATTATACACGTAGACCTCACCTGATGTGCTGCATAGGAATCAGATTGACTACATCTATGAAAAGAATTGTTGGGGAAGCTCAATATTGGCAGTTAAAGCCAGATCAAGTGCTGACTGGGACAATCTTTTACACATGTGCAAGATCAAATTGATGGTGAAGAAAATAAAACCAAGCCCATAACAACCAAAATACAGCCTTGACTGTATCTCACTTGAATTTCAAAATCACCTCCAGAAAAGATTTGAGGTGAGGCATTGAACACTAGTTATTGAAGACCAGATAATTTGTGGAATGACATCAAGGACATCATCCATGAAGAGAGTGAAGAGTCATTACTAAGATAAATGAGAAAGAGAAGACTAAAATAGGTGCCAGAAGAGACTCTGAATATTGCATAAAGCATCAAGAAGCTAAAACATAATGAAAAGAGGCTAAAGTAAATGAGATGAACAGGATTTAATACAGTGGTGGGATGTTTTGTTTTCTGAAGGCTCTAGTTCTTTAATCAATAATAATTGGTAACTAGAATGTAAAAGTTAGAAATAAAGGAGGATTGATAATTGAAAAATATGGCCTAAATGATAGAAATTGGACTGGAGATTGAATGATAGAACTTTGTACAGTCAATGATTTCAAATACCTTTTTTAAAAAAAACAAACAACAAACCAAACACATAAACAATTACTGTACATATGGATCTCACCAGAAGAATTACACAAGTGTCAGGTTGACAAAATCTGTGAAGAGAAAGTGGGAAAGCTCAGTATGAGTAGTCACAATGCTAGGGGCTGACTATATAGCAGACTATGTGCAAGTTCAAACTGAAGCTGAAGAGGTTAGGTTTTGTAAAAAGAACAAGGACCACATATGGATGGCCATGTCTGACCTTCATCAGCTTTACAAAGGGGAACCATTCCTGTCAACAGCATCAGTCACATAAAACCAATTCCCATGAGGTCAGACATGTCCCCCACCCTCCTATACCTATTTCTACTAATCTCAATACCAACCCTACCATTTTTCTGGTTCCAAAATCCAATGTGATAGCTCACAGACCACACAGAATCATATTGGGGAAGTCAAAAGGCTTTAATTCAGGTTAGTAGCTGAATACAGTTACTCTGTGGTCTGTACATTGTGTGTTTTTACAGCTTCCAAAATGTGCTCACAGGTACCTGAGCCTTGAGCCATGTGGCTTTAAGCCCATGTAACAAAGTTCTCAGTCCTGCCAATATTGACTTCCCTTTCTCCCCTAGTGTCCATCAAACTTGGGCGAAGGCTTAGCTCTGGTTCTGTCATTGAGAGGGTAGCAATCTCAAGGTAGCTCCATCTCATCTTTGTTCTCTGGTTCGGCTATGAGTGATGCTACTATAGCTGGAGCAAAGATGTGCTACAGTTTCTTGCTTCTTCACTGGTGGAGAAGGTCTCTTTCTGCTGCTGGATCCTTTATTGTAATGGCAAGAAGAGCCAATCCCCTTGTAGATTGATGAGACTAGCCAGTCCCTTTGTGGTTCGGCTAATTGCACATGCCTGCCCATCCACATGGCAAAGTCAAGTTCAGTGACTAGGAAAGCCACTTTGAATAATAAACTCCACAGGTTTGTAAGTGATAATTTCATCCAGATTTACTTCCTGATTTCATCTCTTTTTCTCTTTCTTTTGACCCTTTCTGTCCCTTCAATCAACTTCAGCTGAAAAAAGGAAGGGTGGGAAGTCTGTGGATTCTAACTTGCCATTCCTAAGTGTTTCTGATCCTTTCATTCCTCTTCAAGTACTTGAATCACCAGGTAGGTTAATAAAATTTTTGGATTAAGAATCCTAATTTTTACGTTCCAGTGGGTTTTGGTAGTTTCCTTTTAAATGTTCTGTGAAATGGGTTTACATTTCAAACACTTATAATAATTGCTTTTGTATATTTTTGTTGGTTTTGGGTACCATCAAGTTGAAACCAACCCATAACTGACCATCCAGTGGGTTTTCAGAGCCAGTTAAATACACGGGAAGAGGTTGCCCACCCTTCTCCCATGGAGCACCTGGTGGATTTGAACTACGTGCCTTTGGGATTGCAGCACAGTTTCTTACCTTTCGGCCACCAGAGCTTCTCCTCCTTTTTAAAAAAAAAAAAAAAAAATTTTATGGTTTGGATATATTGTGTTTCATTCATATACATTTGTTTTATAAAATTAATCATTGATCTGTGTCCACTATTATTCCATCTTTTCAGATCTCCACTGGGATCTTTCCTAATTCCTTCAACCCTCCCTCTCCCCACCAAACTCTGCAACCCCATGCTTCCTCACCCTTAGCTCCCATGCCCTTATTCCTTCCCCTTTGGACTTTTAACACATATCACTAGTTATCCTTCGACTTTTACAATAGTGGTCTTAAGAAACTGAGTTAGTTCACTCAGCATAATGCTCCCCAGTCTCTACCATATTATATAGTATTTTTCAAAATTGTTGCTTCTGAGTGTCGTGGCCTCTTCAAAAACCATTTGTACTTCTGGTAGTACCCTGTCAATGTCCTGTTCTAGCTGCTTTTGAATTATCGTCAGCAGTATTTTGCTTGCATGAGATATTAATGATCCTGTTTGGTAGTTTCCACATTCTGTTGGATACACCTATCTTGGGAATGGGAACAAATATGGGCCTCTTCCAGTCAGTTAGCCAGGTAGCTGTCCTCCAGATTTCCTGGAATAAACTGGTGAGCACATTCAGGGCTTCATCTGTTAGTTCAAACATGTCAATTGGTATTCTGTCAATTCCCATGGACTAATTTTTTTGCCAGTGCCTTCAAATGCTGCTTGAAGTTCTTCTTTCATCATCATTGGCTCTTGTTCAGAGGTACTACTAATTCTTTCTGGTACAGTGATTCTGTGTATTTTTTTTTTTTAATGCTTCCTGGATCATTCAAGATTATGCCCATAGCATCTCTCAGTATTGTAACTCAAGGCTTGAATTTTTTTCCCAGTTCTTTCAGCTTGAGAAATGCTGAGTGAGTTCTTCCCTTTTTATTTTCTCTCGCCAGCTCTTTGAACATTTAATTGTAATATTTTGCCTTATCTTCTCAAGCTGCCCTTTGAAATCTTCTGTTTACCTCTTTTACTTTCATATCTCTTCCTTTTGGCTTCTCAATGTTCATATGCAGTATTCATAGTCTTTTCTGACATCCCTTTTGATTTTTTCTTCTTCCTTCTTTATACGCTTTTGTTCTCTTCATGGATGATACCTTTAATATCCTTCCACAGCTTCTCTGATCTTCAGACACTTAAACTCAACTGAGATAGACTCAAAGTCATTTTTGGCAACTGTGTAGTAGTTTTCATTTTCTTCAGCTTCAGTTTAAATTTGCACATGAGTAATTGATCTGTTTCACAGTCAGCACCTGGTCTGGTTTTGACTGTTGACATTACACTTCTGCAACAAATATTTCCACAAATGTAGTCAGTCTGATTCTTCTTCAGTCTGTCAGGTAAGATCTATATACAAAGTCGCCATTTGTGTTTTTTAAAAAAGGTATTTGCGAGTTCCCCAGCGGTCCCGTGGATCTGTCTCTTGCTTCAACAGTGTTTGGACGGAACAGACCCGGCGACTTCCCCCCCTTCCAACCTCTGACTACCCTCCAACGTCACCTCCAGGCGTAACCTCGGGACCATCTCAACCATCTCCTATTTTC